GCTCAGTTTTCATAATCTTCCCTAGTAGGACAACAGAGTAGCAGCCCTTAACGTTAAGCGTTGTCATTGTAGGTTAGGCATCAAATGGGAACATAGATCCTATCCTAGCAGCCCCAGGACAGCTCAGCCACCCAAGAGACCAAAGCTCAGATGATTTCATCAGTGTCACCTATGTGCGCTGCATAAACAAAGAGTGGGTGGAGAAGGACCTCAGAGACCTTGGTCATCAGTTTGCCTGTGCTGGACTTGTCCACCCCCTCTAGCACCCACTGACCTAAAGGACCTGGGGCTCCACAGAGCAACAGCTGGTACAAGCTTCTGAAAGAGTATGCAGTGCATACCAGTTCCTGACACTGGGCCTCAGTGCATCTGAAACCCTTCAGATGTGGGGTGAGGGCAACAGTGGACACAAGGGAGGGGCAGACCCAACTGACTCCGAGCAAGGACCTGCAGAAAGCCATTCTCCCTCCTTTTTTCAGGGGAATTAGATACAGGAGGATGGACAGCAGTTTATTGAAGGTGTGCTGGCGTTATTGTGGCAGGATTAAGCATACCACTTCTCCCCTGCATGCCTTGCAGCTTGGTGTCCAAACACAGATTTGAGAGTTAGTTTGAAGAGCAGGTTGCCCAGCGTTACTCAGAAATGACACTAGCAGCAACACTAAGAGGGTTTCTGCATGCAAGGTTGTCTGTGGCTGACTGCCACATGGATACTGACACGTTAACAGCATCTGGGCAACACAAAAGGACAGTGTTTCCCTGAGGGAGCACAGTCAAGGAAGCAATGCTTGTTAAAGTGAAGGTGTCCTACAGAGTTTTGCACTAGAAAGGTGGTGCTGGGCTAGATAATACAGTAGCCAGTTAAATCCCTAAACTAAATTTGTCGGAGATGGAGGAAGCCTCACCATCAAATACCTCAAGTTACCAATATGCTCTCATTACTTCAAATGAATTGCTAACAAACAGCCTTACTTCCTTCACAATCCTCATTTTCGGGAGGGACGAAATAAGAGCACGCATAGGAGCAGGTACTTATTACTTATTCCATTGTGCTTGCATCTGGTACAAAGCGTTAATGGAGAACGGTGTTTGTTCCTGGGACTTCTGTGTACACATTAAGGCAATACTTGAATCATTTTCACCGTATCAGTGACTTAAGTGTAATGCTTCTTTGGGACATTGAATTACGCTACAGATGAGTTTGAGAATGTGCCAGCGTGCCAAACAGGCCAAGCTGCATTTGAAACAAAACTGGTCCTTAAAAATCGGACAGTCTACCAACATCAGGATATGCTGTGATAAAAAAGAACAGATGTAGTTTAACTCTTATCCCTTAAAAGATGTTTTCTTAGTCTCTGCCTAAAAGTGCCAGATTTTAAAACTAAACTTTAATTCAAGTTAGAAGATTTATAATATCACTGCTTAGTGTTTCATTATGAAGACAAGCCCTAAGGTCTAACAGCCCTTCTGCTTTCAAAGCAAAAATGAGAAGTGGAGTTCACACACTTAAGTGTGAAATTACAGATTTGATTTGATGTGGATTTTTAGATACCAGTTAAAAACTGACATCATTTATGAGAAAATAGGCTAATGCTATGCTAAAAAAGAAAAAAAGGACACCAATAACATTCAGAGCCTGCAATTTGACAGAATGCTAAATTTATCATTAAGACTCCAAGAGCTAGATTAAAAAAAAAATATATATATATATATCCCACAGTCACATAAAGCAATCACCAGCATAAATTTACTTTGTCAATTCAAACTGGTTTAGAACATTGGACAAGTTAACTTAGCTTTGGCAAGATCAGGTATTGTTTGTTCATGTCCCTCTAACTTTATGCCAAATCAGGTGTCTTATGTCCTCCTATAGCTGGCATATGGATAATAAAGTCCATAGCGTATGCCAAGATAACTTTGCACAAACTCAGTCACATGCCCACACTGACCTAAATGCTACTTAGGACAGTGCACAGATCCATTACTATAGCCAGGATCCTTTAACACACACACAAAACGCTTCATGCTCTTCCACGCAGGCTAACCTAGTACCTTTTTGCTCAATTGAGAGGACATTTCATACCTGTTATAACAATGCCAGTGTGAAGCCCAGAGCTAACTTCCAAAGTTAGCTGCATTGCCACCGCTTTTCAACGCAACCTTCAGCCAGCAAAGTAAAAATTCTAAGTTAGGAAAGAACTGTCACAATGGCACATCACTAGCTCACTTGTAGTAAGAACAGGCATTAGGTTAGGTCTTACCACCGTTTGGAGAACAAGACGTTTGATATCAGTTTCCCACAGCAGTGCCAGGACGCAATCCTGTGGTTTTTCCTGTGCTAGAGCTCTTCAGGGGCTGGCTCAAAGACCACCTGCGGCCTGCAAGGCCCCACGTGGCTCCGCATGCACATTTGCCTCTGGAACGGGCGGCCTGGCCAGTAAGTAGCAAAGGAAGCCCGCAAAGAGGTTCCCTACTCCACCCTTTTCTCCCTGCCTTGGCAGGGCTGTGGGAAAGGGCATGCTCTTTTTATCTGTCCAGGCTGAGAACAGACTCAGGCAGGAAACTCAAAGTTACAGGGTTGCTCCAGGGCAGCTTTGCTTTCTCAGGGCTGCAGACAGGAGCCTGAATTGCACAATGTCCTGCCCCGCTGGCTCTGTTCCAAGGGCTGCCTGGTGACTCACGAGTACTGCTGTGGATGCTCCCACCGCCACCACAGGACAAGAACACACAGACCTGGCAGGCACAGCACTTTCTAGAGCCTGGGTTCCAAGCACCAGCACCTGGTAAGGAGCCAGGAGCACCAAGGAAAGTCCAGTATCCCTGAGACTCTCGTGGGAATATCATCTGCCTTCATTTAGGGTTGGTATCAAAGCTCCACAGCAGTACTTCCCACCTCCAAATGGTGCAGAAGCTCTAGGCACTTCTCATTTCCCCCAGAGAGGGGCTCTGAGCACAAACAGCTCTTCCCTGCCCCAGACGAGCCTCTTTTCCTAACTAGCTTCTTGGAGGCCAGGCTCCTCTATAAACGTATCATTATTTTTTAGTGAATTAAATGGGCCACTGCCTGATGCTATACCATACTGAAGCTTCATCCAATGGAGAAAGATTCAGGGTTGACTAACAAGTATTCATATTTACAGATACAGAAGGGCCTGTCAATACTGGTACTGGACAGAAGCAGCTAAATAAATATATAATCTTAGACAAATGCGAGTATGCAATTGTCAAATATCCTCTCAGTTTCTGCAGAGAAAATATCCTGTAATAGGCTCCCGTGGAATAACCTGTGTCCTGAGGAAGTTTTCTGATTTGCTAAAGTTAAACATAGTGTATGCGTCAAAGATTAAGATTTCATATTGCCAGAGTCTTAAAATATTTCTAGTATTACAATTCTGCCTATACTTCTTATAAAAACTTAATTAATCCCACGAACACGTGGTTTCTGTAAAGCCTTATGACAGCAAATACCACAGGTAACTATCACACAAAGAAGTCCTATTCAGCATTACATTTGCAATCTCTTACCACGTTTGCACTGTGAAAAAGGATGACTAGAAATGGGTGCGAGATGGCAAAAAGACACTGGATGCTAACAGGTGACTACACTGAAGGCTATCACCAGAATGCCTCATTCTTCTTAGCTCTTCTCTGACCATTAACTTAATATATTTGCAACTGGCACCTGAAGGGTAGTTACAGCACAAAATACTTGGCAGAACTTTTTGCAATCAGGAGGTTCAGTGACATTAGAGCTATATAACAGTTTAGGTCTTTTTAAAAATTTACCACAAATGTATACATTTAAACAAAAGTTATCAATTAGAAAAATTAAGCTAAAAGCATCCAAACTAAACAGAATAGATTAATACCAGCCAGTGCAATAGTTACTTTAAAAACTTCTAAGTTAGCAACTGAGTTCTACTTTTTTCTCTTATATCCTAGCTATTTGCACTTTAGATTGAACTTACTTACTGCTTTCCTCAACTGAGCCCTTTTTTTTTTTCCCCACCATTTAATAAAGACTAACCTAATCCAAATGTATCTTGGAAACGCTGTGGTTTTTCAGTTCCTATGTACATAACAAAGAGGATCCTGTTTGTCAAGTGTCAGAAGAAGCTGCTTTTGAGACTACAATTTTAGAGTCTCTAATAAGCTGAGACAGAGGTAACTGAAACTGAGGACTATGCAGCAAGCTTCATTCAGCTGTTTCCAAACTATCTGTAGTGAAGTCTTCCAGGAGAAGATTAACTAGCACTATTCTATCTCACTGGTTCCAGTGTGGGTTTCCTCTTGTGTGGACTAGCACCTGTTTCCTTCTGTAAATTATTAGCAAATACTACTCAGCACACTAGTAGCAGGCAGAGAGAAAAGGTATCTGCCCAAGCTGTCACTCGAGAGGGGAAAACAGCAGAGCAGCGAGGGCAGACATACTAACCCATGTTGGAAAATACCGTACTGAACACTGGCACAATTTCCTCCAAAGCTCTGCTCAGTCTCTGTGGTGGTGGGAGGCAGAAGGGACAGAACCGGTTTGCACCACTGCGCTACAGGGAACATTAAAGGAGACGGAAATGATACTGAGTCAAGTCAATGGCTAGAGAGATCGGAGTCCCTGACAGGCGAAGATGACACTGGAGGAAAACCTAAAACGCATCCAACTTGCTGAGCAGGCACAGATTAATTATATTGCATGAATTCAGAGAGACACACGCTCTCCAGAAAGACCAAATATATCATGCATGCACAGCGCAGAAAGAGCGATGGCTTGACATTGAATTGGAATGTGATGAGAAAGACTGCAGGAAGGAGGACTTAATTATTGCAAAGCCAGAAGAGTGAATCCTAAATTCAAAGTGCTATGTAGCTGAGATTTGGGGGAGGTTTTTAAGCTGTTCTGTTAGTCAGAATGATCTTACTCAAATATTAAAATCCCAAACAATTTTAGGAACAGTGAGAGAAGTGAAAGAACATGAGAGATTGAAACAAATACCCACACTATCTAAGAATTCACTAATAAAATGCCATTTTAATAACTTTTTACAAGGAATCCAGCTATACACTATAGAAAAATAAACACAGAAAAGACTCTTTGCGACTTACAATACAGTGATGCAGGCACACTTCAGCTGTTAACTTAGTAGTAATTCCACATAAGAATGTAAAACATTACTCTTAGTGAAAAGTAATTTCCTCTTGAAGTACTAAAATATAGTAAAAAGTCATATAAAAATCTGATGCAAAAGCACTGCATAGACTAAAACCCCTTTATTCAGTTGCACAAGAGATCACAAGCGCCTCCATTCACTAGGGAACAACTTAGACGGAAGCAATAACCTGGGGGGTTCGCAGTACAGATTTCAGAAGCGTTCTGATCACTTTTTCGTGTTTCGCTGGCGAGGTGGTCCTGGAACTTGTCCTAAATTTAAACGAAACAAGCAAGTATTAGAAAACTGTCTGTATTATGAAGCAACAGGGTACAGTTAGCGGCATGTATTTTCCCCAATGTACTTCATATGAACTACACTGAAAGCGATTATTGTTTTCATGAGCCACCTAAGAACAGTTCAAAACAAGATTTGAAAGCTTATGAGCCTGCCAAAGTTAACATTCACACTTTAAGAGCGATGCTCAATCACAGGCGTATTTTACACACAGCAATAGGATTGCTTCGTTCAACTCTTTCACTCTGGTGATGATTAAATGTGCATCCTGTTGCCGGACAAGTTATTGTAACAGAATAAATGTTTTAAAGTTTATTGAAAACTGGGAACTCATTTTGCTCACAACACTGTTCTGAAGGTTGCAATATCATTCCTTAAGATTCTGTTATATCATGAAAATTTGAAAAATGATGTGCACTTTCCTCAAAATTGCTATTAATTGTGTCCCAGGTAGGTAACCCACACTTAGCATCAAACAAAATACCTTATCCTATGAAATGCTGTCAAGTTTGTTATAAAATTTGATTGTCTTTATAAAAAGGGGGGAGGGGGGTGTTAAAGCAGAGCAGAAAAATCACTCAAAGGCATGGTATTAAAGTTTCTAGGTAAAATCCTGATCCTGCTGAGAACAGTGTCATACGGGAGTGTAGCTGTTGACTTTAGTAATATAAGCAAGGCTAGACTTTATAGGTAAAACTAATCTATTTTTATTAGATCAATTCAGACAGCTAGAAAAACGGGTAGACAATCTTCTGGACTTTCCCCAGAGCTGTTGCCCAGCTATACCAGGCTCCTGTGACCTTCAACAGAGCCAAGATTCTTCCCTTTCTATAGAAACGCACATAATGGTTTCCAAGATTAATTCTACATGCTGCGATCCTAATATGTTTTTAAATCGTAAGAATTTGCCGCAAAAGTTACCTACACAAATCATTATTTTATTACAAGGCAGAAACTAGTAGTCACAATCAATGGGATCAGCATGATCCCATCCTTGTCAGTGGTTTGAGCCAACGTGGGTGCCCTCCCCCCTTTCCCTGGTGAAGGCATGGCGTGGGCTGCAGGTAACACAACTGTAATGGGCTACGTGTGAGGAAACGCTCTGGGCATGCGGGGTGTGTATGTGTAGTCTAAATATTATGTTATTGCTATTGTTTAAGTGCTTTTTGTTTAGTATTACTGCTTTGCTAAATTCAGTTACTACTGTTTCACAAATTTTAGTTAACAAAGTAAATATTTGAATTAAGCAAGGGCACACCTGTCTCCCTGACATAACCACATTAATCAATTGACAGTCACAGCATACGGTGACAAAATTTGGTGCACAGTGTGGGCAGACAGCATTGAAAGGTATCAAGAGCTGCGAACCGATCCCTGCGTTCCAGCACCACGGCCGCCCTAAGCTGGTGGAGAACGTGGCAGAGGACGTCCCTGCAACACAACAACAGTTGTATGTATAAACAAAGAAATCCCCCCCCAAAAAGTTATCTTTGTATTTGGTCTAGCACAAATGACACAGAAACAGTGGGTCCAGCTTTGTTGTTCACAATCCAGGGGTACTGATAAACTGGAGAAGGTTTAGACGTAAGTCTCAAAAATAAGAAGACACGGGAAAACACATAATCATATCCTGATAGGCGATGATTTGAGAATGGTTTGATCATAGTTTATAAGTTCTTCCTCTGGGCAAGAAAGTTTTGAGGTATAATAGGTATAATTAAGATATAATAGGAAACAGTAACTAGAAGATGAAACTAAGCAGATTCAGTCTAGGAATGGGATGAAAATGTTTTAAGTGGAAAGGGTAAGTGCCACTACAATCCCCACTGATCCCTTTGATCAGTCTTAGAACAACATGGCTCCTTTTCACTCTCTCCCATTTACTATCTGCTACAGAGCATGAGGAAGGGATAAATGAGGAAGGGTTATAGTTTGTGCTACAGAGGATGCTCAGCTATTGTCATGGTTCTTTAACTTCAGAGCTAATTTAAACAGCAGCACTTGCTTAGTTAGACTTGACAGCAGCGGGGGGGGGAGGGAAAAATCAAGTGGAAACTATTCATTCTTACCTCTGAAGAATTTCACTAACAACTTATTCAAGAAATGCCACACTTGGACTAGTTTAGATATGATTCATGAACAAGTAAAGTTTCATTTCAGAGGCATACTTACTTTTTCCTCCTTCCACACACAAAAAAAAAATTGATTAAAACGATACTCTTGACGTTCTTTAAGCGTTAAAGGATATGTAGGAGACCCTTGCAAAAAGGAGCCCAAACTGGTGCGAGCTCTGCGGGGTGACAGGGTTCTCTTACCTGGTTGCACACCCCCTAGTCTTTGCTGGATAACCTCTAAGCGATGAATGTATTCAGTAAGCGATCGTTCAGGATCCTGAGTAGACGCAAGGGACTTTTCTGAAGCTGGACTTGTGGATGGATGCAATCTTAAAAGGAAAACAAAATACTTTATTCTCCTAAAGCTCATGTCATACACTCAAATAACTATAATAAAGGTACATTCATATAGGCAGTAATTCAATGCAAAGCAAACTAGAATATCAGTAAAAACTTAGGTACACCTGGATTTAAAACAAAAGAACAGAGCCTGGACAGCTTTTATGTAAGGGAGTCAAAAGGAAAGGACGCTTTTGATAAGAACTGGAGTATCTCAGGCCCACTCTGCTGATAAGTAACAGAAAGTCCCTCAGGTAAGAAAGCTGCGGTTAGAGAAAGTCAAAATGGCTGAGTGCAAAAAGACCTACTTCTATTGCGAAGGACTGAAGAAGCGTTATGCTGTGTGCAGGTACATTTCCTCCTGCTTCAGCAGGTAAAAGATTATCTTGAAGGACCAAGTTAAAAAAGCTCAGAGGAGCCTTTAGACGGTAAGTTGTGCCCGAATTTCCTTTCTCCATATTATTAATGAATTTCAAATGTTGGCAGAAAGATCCATTTGAGGGAACGCTCAGTGCAAACATATTGCTGTTTTGGACCTAGGATGTATTCCTTCTCCTGCACTTTTGTTTAAACAATGAAAGTCAGTCCTGTCCATCCCCCCTTCTTTCTATGCATCTTCGCTATAAAACAAAAGCAGCATCAACCATCTTCTACTCCATCCCCCATTATCATCTTTGTTCCATAAAACAGAGACGACTCTTCACTTGACAGCTAAGCTGCCAAGTACTGTTTCTGTCTGGCAGTCCCAGAGGCATCCTGGGACAGAGGAATAGGATGGGGGAAGAGTTAAGCCTTTTGAGAAATGCTTGCAAGCTTCTACCTCTTCAAAATGTTTTACTAAATTCTGTGCAAAACAAAACATTACCCATCTTTCACACACACAAAGTTAGCCAGCCATGTTAAAAAGCCTAAAGCATGATTTGGAGCATCTGCTGTCTTTGAGTACCCCTAGACCACCACAACTATTTCCTTGTTACTCAGTTTTCTTTATGAAAAAAATTCTTGCATGCTGGCTGTAATTTCCGATTTAATAAAGTGGTCAAAAACAAACTCCTCCCAAACCAAAGAGAAGGAGGAATGCTACCTTCCACCTGAACTCCTGCAATTCCTTAGTTTAAGGAGGAAGTCATGAATGAGGAGTGGCTTGGGAGAGGAGACACGCTATGCCCAGTAATGGACTACACAACACTAGAGGTTACTCTGGGTCCTAGGAGAGCCAGGAACCGGGAGGGTCAGCAATGACTGAAGGCCACCTTCTTCCTCAACGCCAGCACGGAGCTTGCAGCTCAGGCATTCGCTTAGTGGCGCTGTGCAGAATGCCACCCGTGACATCCACAACCCAGAAGAAAGTAGTCTGCTTTATATTTCTGTGTAGAGCTGGTGATAATTCATTACAAACTTGAACACAAACACTGGAAGCTCCCCACCTCCCCTTCTGCATGCCTGCACCAAGTCTAAAGGCAGCTCATAATAATGCAACACTGTCATATGGGAGTGGAGCCATTTCCACAAGAGGAAGAACCTACCTTTTTGCGTGGTCAGAAATACATTTCTGACTTATGCGGCTGAAGCAACAAGATTTAGCCCTCAAAGAGGGCTAGCAGACATAACCATTGCAAGTACATTAGCCTGTTCAAATTTGGGGGTATTACTAGGAAAATTCTCTGTCTGAGAACATCAGACACTCAAAGCAAGTGAGAAACTTTTTCTTCCTGTAGCATCTTGAAAGAAATGAAACATTTATCAGCTTGGAGAAAACAAATCCCTTTTCTTGTTCGAGTACTTTCTCCCAAGAAGAGATTATATTTTTATGAAAGCCTGTCCATCACGGTGATTAAATATAATGCAGAGATTACACACTGACCTGTTATGTAACCCGTAAGAGGATCTGGGGGAGTAGCTCAGAAATCTCGCAGAGCTGGTTCTGTGGCATGATCCAGTATCGCGGGTTGGAGGAGAGCTGATGTTAACAGCTAAGAGCTGTTGCTGTTTCAGAATTTCTGTTCTGGCACCAGAAACTGTATTAAATATAAAACAGTTTAAAACTATACACTGAGAACCATTCGAAACAGCCTAGTAAAAATACAGTCAATGAAAACCTGCATGAATTGCAGCCAAGTAACATTTTGTGTGGTATTAAATGCAGCTATATAAAGTACATTTTAGATAATTGCTTCCAGCCAGGATTAACCAAAGCTCAAACATTTTCATGTCCAATAACTGTTTCCGGCGAACTGGAAACACTTGCAGTGTTTTCTTTCTCCAAACTTGCGTTTTCATCACCTGTTGCTACATCCACACAGGAGATATTCCAATGTCTGATATGAACAAAATATTTTTCAGGAAATCTTAATAACCATTGTGTGCTCTAACTACAGATGTGGCTGTTGATTTACACTCTCCTGTTCTCGATGTGGGAGAGTAAGGGAAGGAAAGGAAGAGTTAAAAAAAAAAAACCCTTTCCATAAGTCCTCCTTTAAATCACCAAAAGAAATTAGATAATTTTTAATGAGGCTGCTAAGATGCTATTTTTGGGTGAGGTTAAAAGCTTGGAATGCCTTTTAGGATTCAGATGACAAAGAAACCACATCACAGTAATACATATGAAGTTTTTTTTTTTTTTTCCCAATAAGTTTTTCAACTAACTTTAAATAGTTAAGAGAATACGATGTGCACACACACCAGGTGATGAAAAAACGCACTATACATCTGTTATTTCACTTAGTGTTGAAAAGCCACAAGTATAATTAATGGGACATTACATATAATGGCACAATTACATAACATCGTGTAATAAATTAAAATGTGTATTCTTACAAACACATCCACAAGCCACCGAAAGGAATGCATTACCAAAGCCATTACCAAACTGCATCAGGCCATGTATCTATCTGCTCCAGTTTGCCATCTATGATAACACTTCATAAACTCCGGAAAGTATTTACTGGATATCTGTCATCAGATTAAGTTTTCTAAATTTTTGGAACCATTCAAAACTTCTTCACCTCTGGCAACACAAACGCACACACCCCTTCTAAGGCTTATTTGTTTCTGATACTTCATGTACCAATTTTGATACCATTACGCCAATATTTGCCCTTGCCCTTATTAATAACTCATAGCAGTAATTCCCATTACAGGTAGCTTCAAACTATGTGAAACATACTTCTCTGATGAGTGTTATGAACAAAATGACTCAGAGTTTCACTGCTTGAGCAGTTATAATAAAAGGCGAAGAGCTGGCTACTGTTGAAATAAGTTCTGTAAGTTTTCACTCACAAGTTTTTACAATGCCATCGTAAAGTCAAAATCATTACGTTTAGGAAATGGATGAACAGATTTCCAGTAGCGTCTAAACATCTTACTACTACTGTGCAGGGTTGAATTTTTTGGTTTTTGTTTGTCTGTTTAAATCAAACACCACACTACAGAGAAATTATGATTAAAGCAACGTCCTTGTTCAAAACCCTTACCTGGATTACATGCTGTACTGTGAGAGATGGTTTCACCCGGTGCACTCTTTCTGTTAACTTTGTTCCACTTTTTTACCAAAAACTTTAACCTTGGTAGCAAAATAAAATTGTACAATTATTCGAAACAAACAAAAAGTTTTAATACTAAGCTTCTTTGCTAGCGTGAAACGTATTCAGCAACATAAAGTCGCAAATGTTGCGGGAATGGAGAAAGAATAACAGAATTCAACTTAGGTCTTTAGAATTAAGTCACACCCCATAACACCCTATAACGCTCCCCTAACTGAGGGCTCCAGAGCCACAGTACGTTAGCTACGATTGGTTTCCATTAAATAACGTTTCATTAAAAAAAAAAAAATCTAATAAATCAGCATTACAGTCCATGAGAATTCCCGAGGGCTGACAGGGGTCAGTCATCCAAGACTTCTCAGAGCTTTGGGTTTACCGACTCAAATACAGCTCGCTATTCGCTAATTGCTAGTTAAGTCGGATATAATTCGTCATAGAATTGTTGTCCCAACAGCAATTACATCACCCCTCGCTTGTATATGGCAGGAGAAAGTCCTGAGCTCAAAGTCCTGGGGTAGCAGCAGCTTGTTTACATTAATTGATTTCTTTTAACTTCTAACCTCCTTTTTTGTTCTGATTAACCAACATTCAAGAAATCCAGTTTGGGAACATATATCTGAGTATGCCTAGGCATCTAGCAAGAAAAACAGGGGGGAAAAAAAAAATCCAGTCCCTCAAAACCGCTCATGCTGGAATGGCAAAAAAAAGTAACAGACATTGTAGCTTAAGCACAACATCCTCTCAAGTCCGAATGTGCCTCATGCTTTGAGTCTTGGGATGGCAGATCACTCCCTTGCTTTGTATCTGTGGCGTTGGAAAGGTTTGCTGGCTTTGGCCTTCAGCTTTGTCCCTGAGTTGCTGAAAGCTCTGGGACATGTTTCTTGTCTATGTCTGTGAAATTACCAAAAATCCATATTTATATATTTTCTGAAACTTTTTTTTATTCCTATGACAAATTGGATTATAATCAAGCCAGATGGGCACTCATCCCAACATGCCGGCGTCCTGCTTCCACAGATTAGCTTGGAGGTCTCTGCCCCTGTGTCCTTAGATACTGCTACCATTAGAGCCTCCACTACAAAGACCACAGTCCGAAGACATCCTGTGCCATCTATTTTTTTTAATGAGCCAAGGAAATTAGTCAGAAATAGCCACCTATTACATTTGAAACTTTTTTTTTTTTTTTGGATTAAATGGACTCAAAAGCCATTATGAGATGGTGTATTGTCCTAAGGAGATCTAATAAAATCTAGTTCACGGTAAATGACAGAGTATGGTAAGAATCATGCCTGATGCAGAGTTCAAGAGAGGAGAAGCACCCTTGAGGATAAAACAAACATATGTTTTTTCATGGATAAGGCATACCAGAAAGAAGGACCTATATATCTTGGTATAGGTGACAATGAGCCCAGGCAGATCAAGATAAGACTCGAAAAGACATACATTCGTAATTGTTGTGCACCGATCCTCAAATATACCAGCACTGCATCTATCTCAAAAAGACAGAAGTAACTGGTTTAGCACACATCAAACTTAGCACTGACTCAGAGACAGCAGTCTGGCCAAAGTTATGGTTAGCAAGTCATGTTTGAACTAGTTTTGGAGAAAAATTCATTTAAAGTGAAGTATTACTACGAAATGCTGCTAAGGAAATTCAGAAGAATAAACTGTGGGAATTATCTTTTTTTTTTAATGATAATTCTAATTCTATCTATATCTAATAATAATCCCAAGCGAAAACTCTGTGTGTGAGACAGTGTTTTGGTCTTACCTTGATATAGCGATGATCACTCTGACTGCGCACCGGAACTTGGTAAAAGGACGGGAACGTGAATCCGAAAGCTGCAGGTCTGCAGGTGAGGGGTAGATTCCCATACGTGCTATTAGAGAGAGGGTTGCTTGCTCACAGTCCTGAAATCCACCGAGAAGCAGCAAGAGGTATTTCTTCTGGTAAACTAGAGCTTTTCTAAAGCTCTCTGCTCGCAGATACTTCCTATATAATCTCTGCAACTAGTAGTGGGTAGGGAAGGGTGGAAGGAACAAATAAGAATAAAAAATTCAGCTGTTAAGATTTAGCTACAGAAAAGTTGACTTGTTTTTTCCAGCAAAGTCTCCCCCAACTTCTTTGTGCTCGAGTATCTAAGCCTTTTTTTTCCCCCCTCCAAATTATGAAACGCTAGATAATTATTAACAAGTGTGGAAACATCCTCCACTACTCTTCGAAACGAGCAAGGATTTTTATTATTGACTGTGTGACTTGGCCAGGTTTGGTGACCAGTAGTAGTATCAGGCTCTGGTAGTTTGGAAGCCATATATGAAAACATATGCAAGTTTAGTAGACTCACCTAAGTCTATGAAGTCTTGGCTAGGCTTTAAAAAAAAAAAAAAAAAATCTTGGCATGATTACTGGTCAGCGTGCAAAGCAGCAGCCACAAACAAGCTACCTTCACCTGGAGTGTCCGTACTCCTGACACGAGGGCAGCTGAAACAACGCTCTGTACCCAGAGCTGCAGGCAAATTAGAACGCCTTAAATTTCCTGAAAGTTTCAGTGCAAAATTCTCTTACCTGAAACTCTGACGTGGTTTTACGCTTTAAGAATTAAAACTGCACTTGTATCAATTAAATATTAACCAGAAGCCATGTTGGGATGAGTGCCCCTCTGACTTGATTATAATCAAATTTGTCACAGGAATTAAAAAAAGTTTAAGAAAAAAATATAAAGATGGATTTTTGATAATTTCACACACAGACAAGAAATATGCATCTCTGCATAACTGCATCTCTGCATTAACTGTAGAAAGATTCCAAAGAGTTAAGGTGACTTTTGACGTAAGTTTCCGTCTAACACCAAGAAAGTTATAAAGGAGCTTCTCTGACAAGAGATAACTGGGGAAGAGCATTCCTAATTTAATATGCAGTTTATAAAACTGTTTGTCTATAACAATATTCATCTTTAAAAAGGGCACCTGAAAAGGCTAGGGCAATAAGGGAAAGTTAAATGCCATAATCTGACAGTTACTTCTATCCCCAGAAATCTGAGCTGCAGACTTCCTGGCTCCTCCGCAATAACAAGTTTTATCATATTTATAATACGGAGAACTCAAATGGAGCCTAAAATAGAATTACTAAATTACTTCATTTACTCTACACGTGACATTAATCACCTGGGCAATATCCCTGAGCGATACTACCAACGATTGAATTCTCCAGAGGTTTTTTACGACCTTGAGTTGGTAATAGTTCTCATACAACTTTATTTTACGGCAAGTCTGTTCAACAGGCAAGGTACACAAACTGCCAAAGGTCCACAAGATATGCTAATGGCTATGGTGCTGTGGCTAGGCTAGGACGAGAAGCTCTCCCAGCTTCTCTCCAGCACATTTGGTGGCCACCGCTATCATTTTACCTTTGGGCTGGAAGTTTCTACTGCTGGTTTGTTTTCAATTTCAACAGTAGCTTTAGCCAGTTCAGATTCTGCCTGTTTCAAGGCATTCTGCAGAACGCTTTTTTCTCGCTGCCAGGCAGCTCTTTCCAGCTCTTGAACTGAGTCAGTATCATCTGTAGCTCTGATCTGAAAAAGAAACCCAAAGTGAGCCAGCCGTGATGGTTCTTGCACATTACTTCCACAGCCAAACATCTCAAACTGAAGAATAATCTAATTTTATGGACAAACTAGAACACAATTAGCCTGAAAAATCAGCAGCTGTTGAACAGTAGGAGGACAGGAAAAAAGAAGTAAACAGGTAGTCCATGTTAAGAGGTAGGTTAATCAAATTGCCCCTTCACTATAGATTTGTCAGATCAGCCTTACAGGGATCCTATTCACTTCAATGACAAATAGCCCCCCCCAAACATCTGGGAACAGAAATGAACCGTCTTCCTTCCTTCCACATCCACAAGAAGAAGAAAAAAAAACTGTAAAGAAAGATGTCTGCATGTAAGCATGCATGTAAACAAACTCCGAAGCATCCGCAGAAGTATATTTAAAAAAAATGCATCCAGTTCTGAGAATGGTTAGTTTGGTAGGTAGTCATCTCTTCTGGGAATAAGACCCACATAAGACCCACAACTTTAGGTCCAACTCCTGGGAAAGCTCGGTCTTCATAACCCCCTTCGTATTGATTATCAATTTAACGGTCAACAGTTAGACGAGTGCATGATGCAGCAGATCACAACAAAGAGTAAAGCTATTTCCCAGGTGGTTAGTGTTTTATCGCTTGAAATGAAGCCCCAATTTCTCCTAGAAAATTATTCTAGTAAAACCTCCCCTATGTTTTTAGGGGTTTGAACTTTTTCAGGATGTGAAAATTAATTTCTTATCAATAACTTAGTATACTAACATGTGCCACTTACATTTCTTTTCTATGAAGAGCACAACTTACCAAGCGAAAATTTTAAGTATAATAAACCACAGCCATCTGATAGATGCCTTTTATTGCCTGCACCATGCACAGCAACAAAACGGCAAAGAAAAATCTTAACCTCAACTTACAATGGGTCTGTACCTGTCTTCTCCCAAATCCCCTCTACAGCTGATGCTGAAGCTTCTTGAGTTGAAGAATTGCTGCTGCTAGTGCTAATTTCTGCACTGTCAGCGCTACGGCAGAATTTGCTAGTCCTCCCTCCACTCTCCTTCAACAGCAGGTCTACCAGAGAAACTGAACCCAGCAATGACGTCTTTGTAAAAGGTAAGGGGGAGAATACAATGGGATTTCCAGTGCTCTCTATAACTACACAGCACATAACCCACATCCTTGCTGTTAAGACTTCGAAGTTTCCTTTGCAGTTTCAGGAAGCAAAGAAGGTCCTCCGCTTCTCAGTGTACTTTTTGCTAGGCTGTGTTCCATAGTTATTATAACATACTGCAGTCATTTAAAATAAGTTTAGAAAAATTACTCCAAGAATCTAATATCGCCTTCGGTATTGTTTCCAAGTTAGCTATTTCTTTCTTTCCAAGTTAAATTCTTGCCCTGTACTCATCACGGAAATAAGAGTTGTTCTATATAAACTCGGATTTTTATACTGACGTTACAGAAACGGAAGGATGCATTTCCCTGCGTAGGGCTATCACTGGCACGGCGGTTGTACCAAGTCACACAGGGATGGTACAGAACAGCATCTTGAGAATAAGGGCAGATAGAAGGACTTCGGATACAAAATACATTTTGAATAAATGTCATTAAAAACAGTTCAGACACAGGAAACAAAACCACCTGTATTATACTCAAGGGGAGGGAAGTTGCTTTTACTGGCCTCCCCAGCAAGCATCCTAGTAAAAACTACAGCTATGTCATGCCAGGAATTTTTACAGACCTGGAGCTATGAAAGCTCAATATGAAGGCAGTAACAGATACCTTGCCCCATCCACCCACCCATTTGATTTCTGCTCCATCCATTGGCATACGATTACTCCATGCTCATTTTGCTATGGATTTTTCCGTAGCATTGCCAGTTTTCCTGTCTAATAGGCACCCGTTTATCGCTATCCAAGAAGCAAAGCAATGAACTGCTTCAATTTCCTGAGCATGTGGTTCAGTACCAGTAGAGGAAGGAAAAAATCAGGCAGAAGACTAAAACACAAAGTGGCTCTTGAGGGTATAAAAGCCTGGAAAGAGCAGAGACAAGAGGGATGTTTTTTTGGGTCCACAGAAGAAAGGCCATCAAGGTAGAGTTTTTGCCTCTAAGCTAAAGAAAGGAGCGGGTCTTCAGATTATCGTACTGAAAACTCTTTTTCTTGCTAAACTTAAACAAAACCTAAGTCAGCAAACTTAAGCCCCCGTATTTGAGTGTGGACGCAGCTCCTCGAGGAAGCAACTGCAAAGTCTGGTTCAACAACAGGAGGGACTGCTGCATCGCGCGGCATTCACTGGCTGAACGTTAAAGGTCTGCCAACTGAAGAGAAAAGCATCTGCAACAGTTTCTAAAGTGCAAGCCCTAATGGCATCAGAGGAAACCAAAACCCACAACCTCCTCTTCCCCACCAAGAACATATAACAAACTATTTTTTCTTTTCCAGGAGAGTTGCAACTTGGGGTGGGCTGAGCCAAACAGCTCAGCTCCTAAGGGAGTTTCTGCTAAGTCCAGTGTAAATGGAGCAATAAAGTTGCCTGCCCACAAGCTCTCTGAGCGTTACATCCACTGCAGAGGACTCTAAAGCCTTGTTAGAATAAAGCTTTACTGAAGTAACTTCATGAACACCGATTTGCGAGAGGTTATACCCCGCTTCCTCAGAGATGGAGGAGATCCATTTGGCAATCACCTAACTGGTTGCACGGGTGACAGAAGGAAAATATTTACCGTATTTTGTAAGCAGTTAGACAGAAGGAGAGCTTGCACTATGCCTAACCAGCTCTTCATAGATAAAACTTGTTTTTACAGAGCACATGAGAACAACTGAAAATACAAAAACCTCTCTCAGAAACCTTTCTTAAAGATGTGTTTTATGAGGACCTTGCACAAGTTTGTTCTTGAGCAGGGGAGGGAGTAGAGGGAGGCTGACTCTACCAGAACAAGTCAAGACTGAAATCCCAAAAGGCCCAGATAACTGCAATGCATTTTGAGGATTTCTTTCCTAAATATAAAGCTGTATTTTAAAATGTACGTGAGAGAAAAATGAATGAGAAGGAGAAGTTATCTGGTGAATAAAAAGGAATTTCAAAGCCATATTTTTGTGGTATATTTTTCTGCCATTAGACCTTAGCTCAGTCTTTGATAATCCCTAGACTGTATAAAAATATCTGTAATGCTGCTGATCTCTCCTCTTGAAAGGACAAACCACGATTGTGCTTTTTGCAAGTTACTTGACAATTTGCTGAAAAATAAGTGTCTCTGGATGCATACAGAGCAGGAAGCAGCACATCCTGGGGTTTGATATCCTCACATCACATAGCTAGGGTGAAAAAATGCCTTCATAAGCAGACTCCGTAATGTAACAAAAAGCAAGAGTCTGACACTAAAACATGTTGATATAAAGATAAGAGTACAGGAGTTCCCATCCTTTTTTACATCCCCAAGCCAAGACAAAAATTTTCTCCTCTAAAGTTTTCAAAAAAAAAAAAACACCCATCAACAAAAAACAAAAACCCCACATCCAAAAAAACCCAAATCACATCACAAATACACTGGAACCCAAAGGATACAGAACAACTTAGTGATAATCAAAAAATATATGTCATTTTCCTTACCAGATGTGCTGGAGGAGACAATAAATTTGATTTTAGTTCCTTTAATGTCTGCAGTAGAGAGGCTACCGCTTCATCATTCGATGCAGACCAATCGTTAACTGTTCTGTTAAACAGAAATATTTTTTCACTATTAGGTTCATTTGTAGTAATCTCATATTATACTTAACATACATGTGATTGCTTTCCCCTACTGGATGAGTTTTCTACTTTCCGAGGCTGTCTTTATGTGCTTTTTTGCGCACAGCACTATGGATGCACACGGAAATCAGCAAGTTTTATTAATTTTCAGGAGCAGAATTTCTAAATAATGCTGCATAAGGATTTCATCAAAGGTCTGTGTTTCACACCAGTTGCAAATTCTATCCTACTATTTCAGGCTGCAGCAAACCACCACTAGTATTTTACTCTGCTGCCAAAGCAATAAAAGTTACCATTACTTAGCCAGTCATTCCTATGCCCTAGGCTTCCCCTGCCACGCTCAACGGACGTTCCCATCCTGATCCTGTAGCTGCGTCGATAACCTAGTTTTTGGCTGCTCTCTATTCAATTTGGTGCAATCACCGAACACACAACTCTTCCACAGGGCTTTTTTCTGGCTGTTCTTTGTAAGCGGGAGCGCTTCACATATCCAGTTGAAATGCAGGCACGCAAGCATTTCAATCAGCGTAACTAATGCACAACCCCAGGAGCTTCTAACGGGAACGGCTAAAGCGGCATGATAGTAACCTTTTAAACGGAGACTGCTACCACCACGTGACCACGACTTCAAGCAAAGTAAACCTTGTAAGCAGTGGAGTAGATGTACTACTTGCTCATTCCCTTAATTATGGGGCTTTTAGCTGTGACACACCCTGGTCTAAAAGCAGGACAGAAGCAGAACTACTATTTTTATAAACCATGTTTCAATAACTACTCACTTATCTACAGTTTTATATATGAACTCATTCAGATGGCCAGCTACAAAAAGCAACTGCTGTCTTATCTTCTCTAGCTGTTGTTGCTGCTGTTGCAAGTGCAGTTGTTCAGTTTCTTTTGTCATGGCCTGTGTGGCACTTCGATCCTTGTTTAAAGCACACACAGCTTCTGGCTGACAGTTTTGAGATGGATGATTTCTTTCCCTTTCTTCTAACAGCGCCAGTATTTCCTGCAGCTCTTTAATTCTGCGTTCATCCCTCTGGTGTTGCAGTTCCAATTTTTGCTGTTTGAACAAGAATAAGAATTAGCGACTTGCAACTTATACGTATATAGGTATGCAGAATTCAAATAGCAGCATCACACCCAATGAATATTTTCATCTCAGTACTCCTTATACCCACAGACCACTTAATAGAGGAAGGCTTATAAATTGCCTTCCAGTGCCTTCAGGAAGCCCTTCAATGATTCTGGAGTGGGCATCTCCTCCATCCGTTCCCAGATTTGGTGACCGACAACTCTCCAGAGCCTATAAACCCCCTCCTCCTCTAGTGAAAGCGAAGGAGCTGAGAAACAAAAAGGGGGAAATTGGTACTGTGACAAACCGTAATTAGGAGCCTAGCTCATAATAGGCCTAACGGTATGAAACCTTGTTTGGTTCTGTTCTGGGTTTAGGCTATATTCAACAGTGGGTCTTCTCTACCTGCTAAGAGCCAGCATTTCCTAGCACAGGTGAGGAAATAAGTCGGCATTCATCAACAACAAGCCCAGACACAACCTCCCCTGAAAACAGCTGTGTACAGAGAAATTCAGGAAAACAGCTTGTCTAACGCATTTTTCAGAATGCTTTGTTTAAGGGAAGGAAATATTTTAATTTAAGAACACCATCCACAGGGTTAATTTCCGGTCTGTGGCTATCTCAGACTAGAGAGAGATTTTGACTAAGCACACTCACCAGTCTCTCTTGATCTCTCTGCCAGTCCTTCTGTTTCTCCGTTTCCGTTTGTTGCTGTTGCCTTCGCTCTTTCTCTCGCTCCTCCTTCTTGTTTTTATCTTGTTCTTTCATTGTCCTGAAGAGCGACTGCAATTGTTCCCAGTCAGCTTTCAGCTTTGCCTCTCTTTCTCTCTGTGCCTCCAAGGAACGGATTACCTCTTGCTTTTGACTCTGAAGAGACTCCAGCGTAGCTCGCAATTTGTTACTGACCTCCCTTTCCTTCTGTGTTTCTTCGCAACACATCTGAACCTCAGCCTCGAGCTGCCTCTTGGAACGAATGGCCTTCTGGTGCGTTTTCTCAATAATAGCAGCTAGCTCCATAGTTCGGGACCTCTCTTCCTCCAGCTGGGCCTGGAGCTCTCGAACGAAGGCTTGCTCTAAGAGTGACTCCCTGTGCTGACAAGAAGCGCCTTCCTTAGCTCTCATGCTCAACTGCTCTGTCAAAACACGTTCGTGATTCAAGGAATTCAGGAGCTCCAACGAACGATTCTTCTCAGCGTCCAAATTTCTCTGCAGCTCCGACAGTTTGTTCTGTTCTCGGGACAGCAAAGCTTCACAGCGGGAGTGTTCAATTTGAAGCTCCTTGCGGAGGTTATCATTTACCGTTTGCTCATGCTCTAAGGACACCGACAGCTGACGATTCTGTATGGACTGCAATTCCAAGGCAGCCCGTAGCTCCTGTTCAAACGGGAGAAGCACATACCAGTATTCTAGCGCAAGTACTCATTCGCAGGGCAGGCGAGCATTCAGCGACACTTCAACCTTCTGTTTTATCCAGGAAGAAATTCAGGAACTAACTAGCCCGGTTAATGCATTAACAACTTTAATTTAAAATGGAAGATAAATGACCTTTGAAAATTCTTGCTAGACCACATCCGTTTCCAATTTCAAGTGTTAGGTGCATGCTTGTTGCCATCATGATAATAAGTAACAAACCAAAGAAAAGAAAAATACTAAGATATCTTCCAGTACATTTTTTCCCCCCCCCAAATGGAAAGTTCCTCACTGAGAAATTATTATTCTTTACATCACTCAAGCACCTTAACAAGGGACATCTGAAGCAGAAATAACCTGTGCTGATTTAAAAGAATCAAAAAATACAGCGGTAAGAACAGATGCAAAACTTCTGGGTCTTACAGCCATCTGGTTAAAGAACACAGCATAGACTGATGATAATAATCCGTCCCTAGGCCCGTCACACCAGCTAACACATTCTCATCGCCCCTTCTGCAGAAGAAGGTAAACAAGCGAGTGAAGGGGCAAGTCCCACAGCAGCTGCAGAAAATCACAATTAGCACTGCTGCAGTCCTGGCGTGGGTTTCTGCACCCTCCCTCCGATCAGCACCAGCTCTCATCTGATCCTGTAGAAAGCTAGCTCAGACTACTAAGTGGCCGAAATGCATCACACGTTGGCACCGTCGACTTTCTGCAGTGCTGGTCCAAGGGAGGGAACGTGGGATTGCAACAGCGCTGACTGTGAATGGTTTGATCTGTTGCAGAACTGCATCGGGGCAATTTCTCTTTGCCTTTGCTAAGACGGTCTCTGCCTTCTGAGTGTGCAGTCTGTTTTTATAAGATGGAAGATGTTAGCACCATGTCTACCATCCAAGCAGGAGGGGAAAAAAAAAGACCTACCAGAAAGATGATGTAAATAAGAGGGCAGATTAAGAAAGAGTGAAAATTGTGGACATCTAACAAGGATTGTTTTGAAGATATCTGATACAGTTTGGCTTTGATTTAAATTTATCAAAGGTTTACGTTATATCTTCTTTCTTTACAGTCACTTACAGGTCTTCTACAAGAACTGAGTCATTACTATCACAGTATTGGAGAAAACTGTTCATGTGCTCTCTGCTCAATTCAGAAGAAAGGGAACGGGGCGGGGAAGAGTTTACTTAACTTCCAAAAATACATGTTATATTGGAAAGGTTCCAGTTTTTCCTCTGCCAAGTTAACGTATCATTGAGTGGTTTTCTTTATAATCTCAGTTGATCATACACAGCACATCCTCACAGCACATTTGTTCTGGAATAAAGGGTGCAATTACACAACTGTAGAGTCTGGCTCTCCCTACACAGTACGGGGCAGTACAAAACTGATCCAAAGAATGTGAGAACGTAAGGTTCTGAAACAGCAAGAGGATACAAAAAAAATACGTACAGCTTTTGCTTACTTCTGTGTGTAGCTGAAAGCTTTAATTCTATGAAAAAAAACACTAAGCCAAAAGGGGCCGAAGTGATTTTTTTTAAAAACTGATGATTGAACAAAAAAACATTGGATAGGAAAAAGACTGCCAAAACATTTTGTTAGTTCACCTCCCTCAGGTCATGAAATTAACTGAACTGGAAGCATTAAGACATAAATGAATTACCTCCAAAGCCTTTGTGTTTTCATCTTCTGTTTTCTTATGCTGAAGCTGTCGCTCCTCAAACAAATGTCGTAGCTCTGCTTCCTTCTGACGTTCGCTCTGCAGCTCTTGAAGTGCAGCTGCCAAGTCTTTTTCTTTATCTTCCAATTCAGAACTGCAAAATTCAATATCACACTTCTAACTGCATTCAGAACAGATCGTCCTTCATTAGCAATGCAAGTAAGTTATGTTGGATTACTTTTTTTGAGTTGGTCTATTGGCTTATTTCTCTAAGACGACCTCTGCTATTTAGAAAGAAGGTCAGTTTTCAAGTTACAGCTATTTAGCATCTCAAAACAGTTTACCTCCCTGCAAGCAAAACTAGAAATACCCCATTTAAAAACTGTTAAAAAAAAAAAACACACACACACACACACCCAGGGATAAGCTATCTATCCCAGCAAAGCAAAACTGGTGTCCTATGAGAGGGGAAAAAAAAAAAAAAAACATTGGCATAGACTAGGAATAAGAAGGAGGAAAACATGCACAAGATGACAGGTAAACAGAGGTTTAGAGCTATCAGACAAGCAAAAGCCTAAGAGAGGAGCTGTGAGAGAATAGTGGGGTACATCAAGGATGCAGGGCCAGAGTTAAGAGGCATTCTAGTCTGTTCGTTTTTACTACACCCATACAACATGCAGCCCTTTCCATAATCTTCTTGGCCAAGGCTATAAAAATGTTAAATATGCAAATCTGAACGGAAGAATAGATAGATTTTAAACTGTTAAGAAAAACAAACGTATCCATGAAAAGTGACAGAGCTTAGTATTCCTCTTTCTGTGTCCAAGCTCCAAGTCATTTGCAGATCCAATAAGTATAAAGCTCTTTCAGATCTGTTAATACATTTTGAAACAAACTCACTCGCCAAAAAAATTAACTTCTTACCAGAACTGGTTTATTTCCCTCTGAAGCTCTTCTAGGGACTTTTGCAGCCTTTCATTCTCTTGCTTACTTTCATAAAGCTCCAACTTCAGGGCCGATACTGCAGCTTGCTCTTGATTCAGGAGTTCACATGTTTCAGAGGCTCTCTTCTGCTCCTCAGTCAGGGTGCTCTGCAAGCCACTCACAATAGATTCCTCCTGTTGAAGCTTATATTCTAATAATTCAACTAGGATAAGAAAATGTTAACAGTCATTTGCCTTAAAGAGCTCTTGACGATACGTTATCAGTTATGCTGCTTCAAACTGCAGATAAATGAGCTGTATTAAAGCATTCTTCTCTAGAGAAATAGTTTCTTTTCAAACATGATACGAATAAGGAGAAAGATGGACGTACACGCTACAGCTTTGCTGTTAGCGGGCCAGGCAAAGCAAGAAGTATATGAAAGCTGGATGAGACTAGGTGAGCAACTGTAATACACTGCAAATAACCTGTTACTAATCGATTCCAAGCCTCATGAAGCAAAACTATCCATTTACTAGCCAACATGTATATACACTATTCCCTGAAAACCATCAAGGGTTTCTGATCATCCTTCTTCAGTTTTCTACATGTATACATTCAATGAGAAAGAGTCACCCTTCAGTGATGCTGCTTTGAGTTACTTCAAATCTTTTATTCATCTTTCACATAGACTTTTCTTAACTGCCAACATTAGAAAGAAGAAAAGATCTGCTTCTTCCTCTGTTAAAATCTTAGGAATCCTGAGTGCATTAGAGTATTGTATAGCATTTGTTTCTTTGCAAAACAATTTATTTTGCCTGTTATCTTTTTAGGCAAAAAAGGAAAGAACTAATACAGAAGCCCAGGTGACAGGAGCTTGGCAATTACTACCTTTCCTCCGAAGCTGGTGTTCTTGTTTGCTCCCATGATCTTCTGCATTAGTAAGAGTTTCCTGTAACTGCTGTAGCTTCTCCTGGTTCTGAAGATGTGTCATGCGCAGCTGAGCTCGAAGGTCCTGTATTTCAGAAAGCAAGCTATTCCTGTCTGAGGAGAAAAGGTGCTCTAAAACCATCTGCCGCTGTTCCTCCTGAAAAATGAACCAAGTGCCATTAAATCTACAAGGCCATTCCCATTCTTTCTACAAGGATAAACCCTAGAGAACCCCGCGCATTAGAAGTTTTATAGAAAGGCAACTTCAAATTACTAAGCTTAGGCCCCCTTGTAATTCAAAATGTTAACATTAAGTAACACAAAACCACTTCACTGGCTTCCAAATAGCCTGATAGTTATTAATAATAGTTTACACATAATAGTTATTACAAACCATCTGGTCGGCAGCTAAAAACTAAACATTGTCATGCAACAAGCCCAAATAGATTCAGGGTTAGCTCAAAATATCCCCTTTGCAAGAGAGGCTTGTGATGTTCCATATGGAATTCTTCTTCCCCACCCCCTTCATCAAATACCACAATCTCCTGACCACTACTTTTTCTGGCTGCAAAATATAATAATCAATAGCTTTTATAAAACAATACACATGAAGTCTGAGAAGAAAATGATGCCAAAATAAAGATTATAAAAGCATACTGATACAACACAATCTGGATTAACGCACAAGATGTAAGATTTAGGAACAGAAGCGATAAAACTGTAAAATAATGGCAGTGTATCCATGCATCCTGTCCATATCCACCCTTAAAACAAAATATGGTGGAATAAAAGAGATTTATGAGTGTAATACTTTAAGAAGTTTTCTTACTTGTTGTTTCATAATATGCTCAAGTTTTTCCACTAATGAACCTTCATCACCAGACCCGGGATTGCAGAAGTGAGACTTCAAGTCAAACTGCAACACATTTCTCTCCTTCTCGAACACGCTCTGTACTGCTTGGAGTAGTTCTCCTCTCCAGTCAGTGATAATATCTGAATGTTCCTGTAGAAAACAAGTGTACTTATTGGCATCTCCACCATCAACCTCTAACCTGCAAACCACATTCAGCCTACCACTACCTCTCAGATGGCCTGCAACTGTAAAGACTCTTTCATATCATTACTGCATAAAACAACTTGGTAATTTAAGCAGACTAAAAGGTGTTAGAGGGGCCTGTTCAAACTTCAGAAAGGAAAGAATCCCCTGCTCCTCATATATACATTTTATGTTTTTATGTATATAAAGAACTGGTAACCGCGTTCTAAAGTGTACAAGTCATCTCTGTCGTGATACCTTGTCTCCTCTATCTGCTACCTTGCTAAGGTAATCTTTCAGTGACTGTATAGCATCCAGAAAGGCTATGCCTTCCTTCTGCCATCCCTCTGTAGCTGCTCCAGACCGATGAACGTTTTTCCGATCCCTAAGACCGAAGGGATGTTCCGACAAAGCCAATATTTTGCAGCTCTCCTCGTATACCATCTTCAGTACAGTCTAGGAAGGAAGAAAATAACGCACAATATTAGGAGACGGGCATCAGCATGTCCACAGCATGCAAGCGGGATGGCATAGCTAGACAATGAAAACAAGGCAGCTGTCCTAGGCTGAAATCTAGATAAAGGTAAGCATGTCAAGTAGCAGGGCAGAGCTGCATAATAAACGAAGCCCACGCTGTCAACAGTTACCGGAGAACGTTATCTCCTAACAGAGGAGCTCAATATTTAAGAATGCAATGATCATGTTAAAGTACTAACAGCAACCTACACCAACGCAGCTTACACTTACTGCTGTGTAAATCAACAGGCAAATATGTCTATGGCCTGTACTTTACCTCTGTTGTTTCGGAACTGTTTAGTTAACTTTTCTGGCAATAAACCAAATTCTATCAAGTCTGAAGTCATGTTACTAAACCCCAGCGATGCTAGACGACCCGCAGAGGCTAGAAAACTATATTACATATTTGGACAGCCTTGGCTTATTTTAGCAGATTACATTAAAAAAAAAAAAAAAAAGCAGCTCCCCAAATAATCACTCTTAATAATTTACACAGTGGAAACTGTTTCCTCTGACGTTGTCAGGCAAAATAATCTCTTTTAAATAAATTCCCTGTTCACAAACTATTACATCATGTGCAGATGTTTCCCAGTCTCATTCCAAGGAAGGTCATAAGCGATTAAGTCCTTTTCTACATACATCTCATAAAAAATATCCCAGCCTCGATGAAGAGCTCTTTCTCACTGCTACTCACTTTAACAACAACAATACCAAGTTATTTTCTTTAACTCTTGACATTCTTACTTTGCACTTTATTGAATGACTTAAGATACTTGAGTTACAGTTTCTGTAACTGGCGCCAAAATAGTGAACACTTCAGGATGCAATGCTAATACACGCTACCCTTCAGTGCGCGTTAACAACAGAAGCACTCTGAACACTTCAGTGTGCTTCTGGCTAAACATACAACATTGTAGTATGCACTCAGATCTTATAGTCACTAGGTCTAGACTGATGATCCATGAAAGAAACTTAATAAAAAATAATTCTCAAGCTTTTCAGGTCTTCCTTCATTTTGCCAAACTGCCTGAGAGAGTCCGTTAGACGTTTTGGAAGGCAGCATTCACTCCCTAGAAAGTGAATTTCTTCTAGCTTCTTACTACTCAAGTATCTTCAAATACTATTGTACCTGAATCTCCTGTTACACACGTACTGTGCTTCCCTCCCTTTCCGGGCCTCACTCCAGCCTCACTCATGAGATTATTTGGAGCACTGAATTTCTCCCTTTCGCTGTCTGGAAGTTCTGGCACGACTCAGAGCTTGCTCAGCCGCAGCACTAAACCAAAGAGTCCCAGGGATATACTCTCCTGAGCTTGCTTTATTGACAGGAGCAAGAAACATCTGCACAGTCCCCTGCATTATTCTTTGTTCTCCTTGAAAGAGTCGACTCTGAAAAGATCCCGCCACCCATTGCAACGGCTTTTCTACAGCTTTCCGTTACACCAGAACGACAAGAATAGGTAGAGGAGCGTCACGTCAACTAGCTATGCCAGTTTACGAGGCAGCTTTCCATAAGGCCTCCAAAACAAAACCCTAAACAAGCAGATCAATCTGTCCTTGCATTGTCACGTTCTGGAGCACCACCCATGCTGTCCTAGCACAATTTACACAATTCCCCCAAGTAAAAGCAGGACAAATATCAGTTAACTACTTACAAGAGAGACTCAGAATGACCCAAGAACTATAATCAACTCAAGGTTTAAATCATTACAGAACAGTTTATAGCGTAAAGGCAGCAGCTAACTCCATTTTATGCTAGCATTTCATTTCTACTGTTTCAGTTTTAATTTCCTGGTATGCTTATATTAATCACATATTACCTTCAGCTGTGGTGAAAGTATTTCTTTTTCTCTCATTGACTCCATAATATCTGGAAATATTCCACGGTACTGCAGATAAGTCATGAAACTAGCATCTAGATGTTCAGACGTTTCTAGCTCCTGTTTTAGTTTGGCTCCCAAACCGGAGCTGGTATCTGAAGAAAAAAAAGGACATCCCTAAAATGTTACAAACCTGAAGAGAACTTGAAACTAGTACAACCATTTGCCAAAATAAGCATGATGATTTCTTCAGCTAGTATAAATGCAGGGTCATCTCAAGTTACTTGGTTGAGGTTTACACAAGAGGGATCTCAACTAACTCTAAACAAGTAAAAAGGTAATAAATTGCCTTCAGCACTAGAGAAAATGTTGCAGTTAAGTCAGGACTCGCTAAAAGCCCATGCCTCCTTTTCAGTATGTAAGGATGCAAAGTTAAAAGCAGACTTCCATTAACATGAATATACGAGTCTTTCTAAATAAAGCATCACCTGACAAAAGTATAGTTTTCCAATAAAAGATCGACAGTGAAAGACAATGGAAGAAAGATGAAGCGTTACAATATTTGAGACTGAAGTTATCAAAAGGTGAAAAGAACCAACAAACAAAATGAAACTTACTGCTGCCATACGCATCACTCGCCACCTCTATGGCGGATGCTGTTGATCTTAGGTCGTCTTGCAAATCAGATGGGGTTAAAGTTAGATTATCAGCTTCTCTCACCTGCTTGGAAATAATTTCTAGCATTAGTTTTCTGAATAGAGTTTTCTGCATTTAAAACAACCTCGTCACTGGTGCAGAATTGAGCAAATGTCTACTTGATCACAGTGTTAGAGACAGCAAATACCATGATGAAACAAAACCGCAGTTCTTCAGCTGTTTTTTTTTTCCTCACTTATTACAAACCTAAGAATTTTCCTTTGAAACAGAAATTTTTATGTTTAAGTCTCAGATGATGTATCATTCTGGGGAACACTTCGAATAACTTCCTTTTAGGTACTTTTGAGTGATATGTAATATTCCTATTCCTTTCATTTTCCTACATTTTACGACTTCTAAGAAGAACAGAACTATCTTTCTGTAACATGAAAAGATAAAATTTAAGTTGCACAGTAAATGACGAAACACGCTCTAATCAAGGAGAGATGACAAATCTCTGCTGAAAGTTGTTCACAGGCTGTCTGCTGGGGGGTAGCAGTGGCTTTAACCTTAAAGACACCTCATGATGAGACTCCTAAAAAGTCAAAGTGAAATTACACAACACGTCCGCTAGTGCTGCAGGATCCAGAAGATTCTGCATTTTCAAGTCAATAAAGGTAAAGTTTTTCAATATACAAGTTGCTCGGTTAGCATCCAACCAACCTGACATTAAAACTTCAGTTTATTTCAGACAGTTGGTAGGCATAATGCTAAACGTGAATTTCTGACGGCCAGGTTTCCCTTTTCTGTCAGAAGGGCACTCTGCATAACACATCACCTTGTTAAGAGACATATTAGCTCTAGGTAAGCGAATAAACCCAAATTAGCCCAAATGCTGGGCCTGCATCAGAGCTCGTAGCCCCAGAGCTAGCTATGTCAGCTTTAACTAGGCTGGGGCCAAGAGGAGCTGCCAAGAGGGGTTGACTAAACATAGCACAAACTCATCACCTCGGTCAAACTCGAGGTGTCTTTTCATATATTTCGGTGGGAATGTACTAAGGAGTCTCTGCTTCCCTTTCTGTCTGGAAAGTGGGTCACTACTTTTCATGCTGAGTTTTGCTATTAAATTTATCAATTACTTCCCTGTAGCATCACTGCAGAAGTACTATGATTTACAGAGCACTCTCAGACCGTCTGTAAACACCTGAGCAATACTCAGACTTTCATGGAAACTGCACCAGCAGCCTACAGACATGCAGGGTGCAAAGCCATGCTGTAAGCAGCTCACTGTTCCATCTTAGTTTCTGGAAGATGGTTTTCACTTACTAGAAGCAGGGGCAAACAATGTTTTAACACAGCTCAGAGATTGCTCTGCTCTTTGCTAACGAGGGAAGGACTAAAAGAAGATGACTGCACGTCCAGAATGATACTGTACCTACTCTTCTTGGTGTCTAACACTGATGCTCAACAGCCCAGCAATAATTTAGGAAGGGGATAGAGCAGTCTTGTTCAAATAGAATAAGATGAAACATGAAGTATCACTTACCAAAATCTTCTCTATGTCTTGGTCGTCAACAGAATAGGTGCTTTCAGAGAAAGCTAGAGATTTCACATCTACTCTCACCGCTGCTTCCTCACTGCCGTGTTCATATAGATTTGGATATCCCAACAATCCAGAAGTATTTTCTTGCATCGATGACCTTGTGTGCATCATTTCAAAATCTGTGCTATCCACTTCTGAAAAGGGAGTCAAGTGAAGCCCTGGTTGAAGTTCCATGCTTGTATCCTGCTTTCTCACAATCTCAGGTGACTCCCATGAAGCCACATTCACAATTAAATCCTGGAAGCCTTTCGGAGTGTCTTCATAGCCTATGATCAAATTCTGTTTTGGAGAATCAGGAGTTTGATGGCTTTTCAACGTTTGCTGGCAATGCTTTTTCAAATCTTCCTGCTTTTCAGAGTTATTGATCATGTCTGATTCCTGAGCCAGGACCTTTTCTTGCAATTGCTTAATCTGAGAGTTCTGATTTATATTGTGAGTTGTCAAGTTTCTTACAATGTTATCCTTTTCCTACAAGGAAATAACACATACTAATTGTTCAATAGAATTAAATATTATTCTACAAACTAAAAACACGCATTTAAAAATCTTCTCAAATTTAATAATCAGATCTATTATTAAATCTATTATTAATCTGGAATTAATAATACATAAAAATAACACAGTACTTCAGTATATTTTATATGCCAGCTAACCTTGCTTTTTAAGAGGAAAACACATTATCAATGGGGGGAAAAAAAAAATCTGCATTAATCAGTAAATCTACCCATTTCCTCAGAGCTAATTTTTGTATGAAAACAGAAAAAGAAATATTCTTCATAGCTGTATAGATAATCTCCCTACTTTTCGATAATTATAAAGCAATACCTATTGTCTTCCAAAACAGCCAAGTCTCTTGAACTACCTTAAGGCTTAATTCCTGACCTAGGACGCAGGGAAAACTGTTTAGGCAGAACTTTATACGTTATTTCTGTATCTGCCATTTTCAACCCAAGAGAAACTGCGACCCATCTACTTCTACACTTTAGAGGGAACAGAAACACATGTCCCATCTCGCAGCTCTGCAGTGACACACACACACACCAGCCATGCATAACGACAAGCTACAACAGAAGTTTGGGCAAGGCTGTGCTTGTACCCTTACCAGCCTGTTCACGCTGTGACAACCTACACATGTTTTCCAAGCATCAAACAAGATACAGGTCTCTGATGATCAGCAACACTGCAGACCATTCCTCAAAATCTGACTCCATAAAAACATATATGAGGTCAGATGGAAGTCCTTCCTACCCAACCACCCTGTCCTTGGCACGGGCCAACAGAGACACACAGCTAGCATGGACATAGCAGCTGTGCATCTTCCTCAGCCCTTGGCAATCCTTGTGCTTACTTAGCTATTTTCCCAGCCTGAGGGCCTACACAGGCTGCGGGATCTCACCAGCACCTTTCCCATGGTGCCAGGGTCAGATGGTACTGTACTGTGTGGAACATGCACGTTCCTCCCAGCCTCCCTCATTACAAGGGCTCTGATTTTGTCAGCATTTCCATGCAAAGAGCTTTCTTCCCCTCCCCAAGGCCTCTTGAAGTCACTGGTCTTCTCCTATGATGTAGTTGCTCTTTTCAAAGAGTGTGTTTTTTTTGTTTGTTTGTTTGTTTTGGTTTATTTTATTTTATTTTATTTTTTAAAAACACAGACTCCACAGGTAAGCTGTTTTTGCAGAGCCCTTTCCATTGCAGGTGGAGACCCATGTGATACAGTGCGGTTTATCCCTAACGCTTGTCACCGGAGACCTCCCAGTAGAGTCACGAGGATGAGACGAACCTCATGTCATTCACCCAACATGTCCCACTACTTGCTCCACAAATCAGGAAATCACAGCCTTCTCCTGTCTCTAAGTCTCTAAAAACATTATTCTGTTTGGACAGCACATCCAAATGAAAAATGTCAGAATCACATCATGGAAAAATATCTTTTCCCTCACCCTTGTAATCTCAAGGATCCAATGGGGTAGGACCTACTATTACCAAAAGATTAAGGAACCGCAGCAGGCTAGTGCCCATCCCACTGTAATTCCAGGGCTGGCTGGTGCCGTTAGTTAGAAATTCCTGAAGGAAAAGCATACACTGAGCGTGCCAAGCTGCGGCCCCTCTTCTAACAAGTCCACAACCTCATACAGAAGGTTTGGCTGCCTTTCTATCTCCTCTTTTTCCATCTATAAACTCCTTACCTAAGGCCACAGATATACAGTCCTCTCAGAGCCCCCTGCCCAAGTGGACCTACCCACAGCATCAAGATGGGTCTGTTTTTCCCATCTCCCCTTGCCACCCCCACAATCCCCAAACTCGAGTTTGTTGCATCTCTGGTTTTGTGCTTCCCTTTCTGCTTTATGCCCATCATATCTGAAGAAGGTTTTACAAGACTAGGCCAGTCTTTCTGCTGAAGAACCCTGCGGGGCAATACCATTTTGCCCTGTCCTTACCGAGCGGTGGCTCTCCAAGTGTCCCTTCCCAGCTCCCTCCAATTTAAGGTCTACACATTCCAGACCACATATTCAGTCAACATCTTTCAGTTCAGCAGCTCTTGGTGGATTTCACTTCAATAACTTTGTCTAAAGTACTTGAAAGATACAATTACACTTTTGACCTCTGAAGATGCTGTGGCTAAGATGCATTTTTTGAAAAATTACTTCTTTTAGTTTATTTTAAACTCCCCACCATGGAAATTTCATTTCACCCTCCATACCTCTTCTATTGTGAGAGACGGAATAATTCTTCCCTCTCTCTTTTCAGAGCCTCATCTTAATCCTTTCACTCGTGTTAATCATCCTTCTTAGCTGAAGAGTCCTAGACCTTTTAAACTCAACCGCCAGCTGCAAATACATTACCCTTTTGGCTAATCCTCCAGCTTTCATTTTAATACATTTCTTAATTTTCATTGTTCTCACTG